ATTCAGAGAAGGCTTTAGGAATATTTGAACCTTAAATAAATCAACTAGAATTCATTAAAATTTAGTAAGACTAGATCTTCTCCAACTAACCCAATTGCCTTTGGGGGTTTGAATATGACAAAAATTTATAGTCTTCTAAAATTTCCAAAATTCCAGGGAAAAATTCTTGCTATGTTTATCTAAAGTATTTATTAATCCCCACGAATGTTCATATTATCAAAATTTAGTACAGGGGTTTGGCCTGACCAAATTCCAAAGAGGACTATCTGTTAGTGAACAAAGGAAAGTTATGAATATCTTATCTAAAAACAGGTAATAAATCAAATCCAGTGGTAAACAAATTTCCATATATAAAATGGACAGGCAAAAGACAGAGAAGATGACAAAATAGGTCTTTCTAAACCGTTCCTCTTCTTTTGCTTGTACCATGAATGAGCCCACACGTCCAGAAGTCTAGAGCAGTGTCATAGTTATAGTGATGCTGATTTACCCAAGCAAAGGAACAATTTTATTACTAAAGACAAGAATGGTGGACTGGTGACTAAGGATCAAGTTTCTATCAAGTATTAGATTAGCAATTTCTTTCCTCTTAATGGCTATCCACAGATTCCATTCCTTCATTATCAGTGAATTGCCATAACTTCTTGGGAAAGAGGGTGGAGTGATTTCCCATTGACTTCGCTACAGGTTTGAATTCAGTGTAGTCATACTTACCGGCTGTCAACTAAGGCTCAAGAGTTCAACCTATCCTGCTATTTAATCCATAGTTGGGGAAGACGAGATGAAGGAGATTTGTGCAGCAGTGAATGTAACAGACTAAACTGGAATTTGAATTCAGCTTTCTGATTCCACTTTTTACCATTGTGCTATTCTCACATCACAGATTAGCAATAAATATCTCAATACTTCGAACAGTTTCAGAACAATTTTTGGCAATGGGCAACATTTTTAAACTATAACAACTGAACAATTTTGGATATTTGAAAAATACTTCAGATTTGGTTTAAGTATCAGCCTAAAAAATGAATTATTTACCGCATCCTTACTAACATAATAGTCATCATGACATTCTTTGGACTGTTTCAAATGTTTATAAATTGCATGAATGATAAGATTTTATGAAGAAGAACCTTAACATAAACCAGTATATAAATAATAATAATAATACTAATAATGGCTTCTTATATTTGAGTATGCCTGTCTGCTATCTAAACCCTGCTGCAAGAACCTGCTCAAGCACATTTGTGTTCAACACCCACAGAGCCCACCCATGATTTATACTGCAACTAAACATAAGCTTAGTTGCAGTTTCAGGGAGAGAGTGCATAATCTCTCATGATCAGCAGTTTCAAACAAGGCCAGTATGACTTTTTTGTGACTTTTTCCTAGCACAATCATTGATGGTTTCTGAACAGTTCCATCTATCAAATTTTCACTCACAAGGCTTAGATCAACATGATGGGTTATTTTCAGGCACTTCCCAATCGTCCTGCAGACTTAGATTGTTCCCAAGAAGATATTATCAAGAAGTTCCTTCCTTGACAAATGAATTATGATGAGATTTGAACCCAGGTTTCATGGTAGGAATACAAACGTTCTAACTACTCAACCACCCACCAATGGACCAAAATATTTCCTTAATACATCACTTTATCTCTAGAAATATCTTCTGTATATCTAAAATGAAAGTAACTAAAAAATGCTTGCACATAATTAATGTTTCATTAGTTGTGGATAATTTTGTTAATATGTCAATGTTTATTCACATCATCCTTTGCTTATATAAAGTCATACATATGTGCAAAATGAGAAAATAAACAGAAGCAAGGTGATGGGTAGATCTTTAAAGTATATTGTTTAACAAAAGTGGTTTAAAGATAAGGGTAGATAAGATACCCTCCATTATCAAGTGGAGCAGCAACTTATGTAACAAACAGTTTATCATGTGATAATTCGAAAGTTTCTTAAATAAGTTGTTGGTGGATAAATGCTTAAAAAATTGCTTTAAAAATTATAATAGTTTCACTGCTGTATTGTTGCCTGTCTGTGCTGGCCTGTTTTAGGAAAAATAAGAAATTACCATTTACTGGAAATAAATGACTTTAAAGATGCTGACAGCAATTTTCCATGAGTGCCATCATTTTGATTTGGATCAGATACTCTGCACTATAGACTAAGCTAAACAACATTCCCAACACAGTTTCATAAAAATACATTACAAAATAGGTTGTATTGTATACTACAATATGTCTGTTCTAGTTTGGGAATAGCATTAAGCATAAGTTAGTTTATATCACAAATGCTAGGTAAATGCTTTCGAAAAAATGCTTTAAAAAATATTAGCACTTTCATGGCTCCATTATTATAGAATTGTTGTCTGGCTGTTTTGGGGAAAAATAAGAAATTAAAATTTACTGGAAATAAATGATGATAAAGATGCTGACAGTAATTTTCTCATGGATACCACCATTTTGATTTGGATCAGATACTCTGCAGTACACACAAAGTTACCCCCCCCACAACATATGGTTTAATAAAAATACAGCAAAAAACAGATCATATTGTATACTACTATATGTCAGCTTGTTCAGGAGTTTAAGAGTCCCTAAGTCTTTGCATACTCTCAGCATTGGAAACTCTTCTGGCTGTTGTTTGATCTGGGTTTTCATTTGCACAGGACTTTCTTTTTTTCATTTCAGCCTTGGTTCTTTTGAATACAATCTGGTCCTCTGTTGGCAGAGATTTATTTTTTGTGAGACATACTGCTACCATATGTAATATGCAACAATAAACTAAAGAACTCAAAATTGATTGCTGCATTTAAGTATTGCATTAATATTTAAGCTTACCTTTTAAAAGTTCGACAATAATTCTTCTGCCGCTAATTAATTTAAAGACAATTTGATATACATATGTCCTTACATTCCATACAAACAATTATTTTTATTTTATGGGTGACTTTTACTGGATCTTGCAGTTAATTTCAATGATTCACCATTTTATTTCCAAGGTATAAAAATTGTTATTGTACCAACAAATTTATCGCAAAAAATTCCGTAAAAATTTGCCAAAAACAATCAGAGTAAGAAAAAACTTGGGAATCCAGAATTTCAGGATTGCAGGTCTGAAACTGGACCAGAATGTTTTAATTTGCTCACGGAGTTGGCCTGGTATTATATGTTGGGCTATGGCCTCTAGGAGTAAAGATGAAAGTCTCACACACTGACACAGTGACATTTGCATATATGCGTGCATGCATGCTTGCGTTCATGCGTGCGTGCATGCGTGTGTGTGTTCAATAGATAATCCATAGTAAATTTGTGTCCAGATTCTTACAATGTTTCACCATTCTTGGCAGATTTTCTATTATCTCAATGTGGGATATTTAATAACAAAAGTGAAAAACATGAACAAAAAAAAAAAATGTAAATGAAATTGGCTAGTTTATATACCCAAAACACATATTGAAAAAAAAATTAATTTAAAATTTTCACTATCTCATGTTCATGTGCATTTGTAGTCATACCAACATAAAAATAAACTTAGTCTGATGAAGACCTAAAGGATGAAATATGCCACACTTCTTCCACTTTGTCATACTTCTTTTCTCTTAAAATTGTTCTTGATATATAAAAAAAATTATATATTATTATTCCATATATGTTAACAGCATATATCTAAGTTTCATAAGTAGTATAAATGCTGTTCTCTACCTTTACAAGAGCCAGGTCAGATCAATAATGAAGTAGTGTTGTCATATTTAGGTGGGAACTTCACAGACCACATTTTCCAGCCTAGATTTCAAAAGTGTCTTTTAGTCCTTATGGGTGACAAATTATTTTTCACCTTTCAAACTTTCTCTAACAGGTGGAATATGGTTAGCCTCTCTCTGCTCTGCTCATGGAAAGTGCTCAGACGAACTACATTCCTTGGTTCTGCCTGTTCTAACCTTCATGGCTGGGACCTGCCATGCCACTGACATTGTAGCAAACAACCCACATTCCCTCTGTATTCCATCAGTGAGGAGTAAGTTATCTTCCTGCAAACTACTCCTAGACTCCCTAGAGAACAAACTCCTTAGAGAATGTTTCCCCAATCACTACAATCTTAATCTGTTCAAGTCTAAGGTTAACCATTAACTTCCTCTCCTATTCGTACAAACTACCTTTGGACATAACCCTTTACCTTGAGTGAACCCCCAGCTTTGTACAGGGTGAACCTTACTGTAAAAAAAAAAAAAATATGTACATCTACAATTTCTGAAGTGTTAAATGGATAAAACCAGTTCTAACCTTCATAACTAAGACCTGCCAAGACCCACCTTGCTATGCACATTGTAGTGAACTACCCTCATTTCCTTTGTATTTCATTGGTAAGATGTAAATTGCACTCAAACTGCTTCTTCCTACAAACTAATATTTTGTGGAACCAAGTTTCAAAAGGATATTTCCTTGATCACTACAATCTTAACTTGTTCAAGTCTAGGATTGATTATTATCTTCACATACATATCCTTGTAAACTAAATCTCTTATCTCTTACTCTGTAACTCTATATCTTGAGTGGCTATTGAACATTATTGTAAATAAACAAAAGCACAAACAGAACAGATAAAAATTAACATGTGAAAGGATTGGCAGTATAGGTCATTTCATTTGTATTTTTTCTCCAAATAGGAAGAGAAAAGAAGAGTTTGAGTTGAACTATTTAGGAAAAATAAGAAACTGAAAATGTTTGTTCTAATCCATTGGGGAATAACTGCAAAACACTTTTCCTTCCCTAATTTATAGGCAGACACATACAGATGCATGTTGGGATTTCTTCCTAGCCAATAAAACAGGCTACTACTTGTTGGTTTCACATGAATCAATCCTATTCTGTCTTGTCTTGAAATCAGAATGTTATATTAGCTTATCTGAATTTGCTCTTGTGTGTCGACCCCAAATCTTAGATTGTGAACTTCTTATTGTTATGGTCCGGTTCCTTGTACCACGGTGATAGTCCAAGGTAGAACCAATAAAGAAGAACTCGAACACAGGTATGGAATAACAAAGATATATTACAAACAGGAATATATACAAAGAAGTAGAAGTGTTAGTATGAACAATCAGGTTTAGTAGAGAGAACAATGTAGTCTCGACCAGTATCACTATTCCAATGTCTTGCAGTAATTGTCTGAATGCGACTCTGTTTTGGACTGCCTCTGACTCGACTCTTGACTCGACTTGAACTACTGACTCGACTTGAACTACTGACTCGACTTCAACTCCTGACTCCTTGCCTACTCCTGAGGGGCAGTATTTATTAAGTATGGAATAGTCCATCATTATTATTATGCATAAGATCCCATAACACTTATCATATTGACACTGCTTTGCCTTATTACTGTTATTTTTCCTTGCATATATTGTTTGCTTGCTTTATATTATTTTTTGCCCTGTTCTTTTCTTTTTCTTGTTGTTGTTTATTGCAAACTTTGTCACTTGTGTTGTACAGTTCTGTCATTTATTTTAAATATAACCATGGCCAAAAAAAATAAAAGCCAAATATATTTGAAATTGAAATCACTTGAATTCAAATGTCTACTGGAATTCTGGGGAATCTGGGAAGGAACACATTCACTTTTTTGGCCTACCCTAGTTAGGATAGTTGCTTTTATGACATGTGTCATGCTTTTATGACATGTGTCATGCTTTTATGACATGTGTCATGCTTTTATGACATGTGTCATGCTTTTATGACATGTATAAGGAGCTGTTTAACATCTAGGAAAGTTCTATTGAATAACTTTAGAAAGTCAAAATTTCTGAGAAGTCTGATATAATGAATACCAGGCAGTTCTAGTGAACTGAGGAACTTAATTTTGTTCTGAACAGCCTCAAAAGTGCCTGGAATTGTATCAGTTGACTTGTAGAGATAAAACTTCATAAGAATCTGTTGAAAAAGCTTTGAGTTTATTTCTTTGATTGCACTATTTTTGGAGTAAGAAGGCCTTAACCACAGAGTTACTGGGAGTTCCTGTTGTTTTGGGTGTTTAATCCTTAACAGTTTTAGATTTTTTGTCAGACATTTTTTTGCACAAAATAGAAAAAAATCCAGCATTTTTAATCTTTCAAGTTGTTTCATTTTTTAAAAACTAAATTTGACCCCTGATAACTTCCAATGACCTATTATATCATTTTTTAATCTAGTTACTTTTGCATAACATTTTACTTTCAAAATTTGTTTGTTTGTAAATGGATGTCATTAAAGATCAAAGTATTTATACCACCAATGACCTCTGGTGATCTTGGAAGTGGAATTTGAAGATAACCTCAGTACCATTCGTGAAAATAAAAACAATTTCTGTAAACTTTATGTCCACAAAAGGATGGTTGTTCTTCTCTTGACACCATTATCACTGTATACACTTTTGTCTCCCTCAGCAGCAATTTATTTACAAGATTATAAAAATATGTGAACCAAATAAATTGCAATATTTATTATTTATCTTCTATAAAGATTTATTATTTACCAGTTTATGAAGAAATAAATTTGAAAAGAAAACCTTTTTATTCAGAAATTTATAAAAAAAAACTACAAAATTATTAAAATATGTAAAGCAACCATAATGCAATATTTTCATCCTGAGTATGATGATAAACTACATCTGATCAGGAAGTTTTGAGGAGCATGGAACCACCTCTTAATTGCTGGTGTTCCCAGGTCCACCATGACCCAGGGTGGTAGCACCTGTTAGCTATGAAAGTATAAAAATACATTTTTATAGTAAAAATACCAGCAATACATTTTCAAATTAAAAGAAATTACCAGCAATACATTTTTGCAAAAGAAATTACTCATGCTTTGAAGAAAATTAAATTTCAGCATTAAATGATCCATAAGGGGTTGATATGCCACTAAAGAAACAAACAAACAAATATAATGCAATATTTATTATTTACCATTTTATAAATGACTATGAAAACAATTTTTTTTATAATTTCTAAAAATATCAATGAACTTTCTACACACAAGCCACTAATCTGCCACTGTGTAGCATGTCACTAGTGCTTACTGGTGGTAGCCTGTTGTCGGACTTGTCTGCATGTTTGTCTTGGCAATGTTACCACTTGTGGACTGCTAGTGGCCCACCTATGGCCTGCTGATGACTGCCTCTAGAGGACCATTGATGTTGTCATTGGTGGCCTGCCAGCGGGCCCCTAGTGTCTTGTGTGTAGGGTATTGTTTTCAATTCTCAAGAATAGAGAAAATGTATAAATCTACTTTCATATTTATACATTTAAAATCCACTTTTATCAAAAATTTAATCATTACTTTTTAAAACAATAAACATTGCTGAAAGACTCAAAAGTATATACTACATGGTGACTGATAATTTCATGCTTTAAGTGATTACCATGATGTGATAATTGCTTAAGGCAGTGTTTCTAAATCTTTTTACTCCTGTAGAACCCTTGAAATAGTTTTCATATCTCAGGGAACCTCTGCATAAAAATTATATATATACCATTATTAATACATATCTCTTTTATATTTTACTATACTAACCAAAGATTTTCCAACAATATACTGTATTTATCACCATTTCTTGTGGAACTCTTAGCGATCTCTTGTGGAACCCTAGGGTTCCATATAAGACTGGTTGAGAAAAACTGGCTTAAAGCATGAAACTGCCAATCACCATGCAGTTTACCCTATCCTACCACATATTATTAAAAACAGTGTATGTTCTTGACCTTTATATATGAGTACTGGTTTTGAAAGAGATTAAGTCAATTTCTCTGGATGTTGATAGCTGAGAATTTTTTATAGTGGAATGAAGCTTCAGAATAGCTGATTTCTTGGTCAAAAATATAACTTAATATCAGTTACTTCTTCTTTCTCGTAGCTTCATCAAACAATTGCTGCAGTGGCTCTAGGTCAGCTGAGATCTCACATGTAATACATGGGGTATCATTATTTCCAGTAATATCAAAAATGTATACTTTGAGGAAATTGCTTTCAGAACATCACCAATAAAGCCCACCATATGGCTTAGACATAGATGACATATTCATACTCTGATCCCATGGGGAAGGTGTACAGACATTGCTGGACAGTGTGAACTCAATAAGACCCGTACAGGGTGCATATCTGTACAGGGTGCGATGGGTAAATTGTCGCCATTTTATATTTTTAATTTCCCGCATTCTCATTCTTTGTTTTCAATTTTGTTGATTGCACCATATAGTAGGGTCAGTTGGGTATCATCTGTAAGAAAAAAAAGCACTATTCACTCCACCAGAAATTTCAAAACAGCATGCTGTACTGCTTCATATTCATGCTGGAAGCACCAACATAAACATTTCAGAGAGTTTGAGAGTCAATTTGAGGACAGTGGATTTAGAAAGAGTTGGATGAGTCTAATGATGATTATGAAGGTGTTTGAAATGATCACTAGTGATGGCAAAATTATGCCTCCATTCATCTTCCTACTGGGCCTCAGACTCAACATGGAGACCTACATCAAGTGCCTTGAGGAGGTAGTGCTGTCTGTGGTCAAGACAGTGGCTGCTGGAAGACACTATGTCTCGTAACAGGACTCTGCACCATGCCACACAAGCAGGAGAACCCAGTCGTGGCTTTCAGAGAATTTCTGTAACTACATCACCCCTTACATCTGGCTACCTAACTCCCTAGACTGCAACCCAGTTGTCAAAATATTATCTATCTAATGTGATGTTTCAATCAATGATAAGAGATCATAACAAATCATTTTAAGAAGATTTTTCTTGAGAATTTTTATTTGTCTCAACAATGGTTAGTAAACATTTTTATTGAAAACTTGTTAATGGATATAACAGGGAATAAACAGGCAAGCATATTAAAGACTTCATTTTTACTCCTTTTTCTTACATGTCTGGAAAAATTTTTTAAATAAATGTTTATTTTTATAGAATTATTACAATTAATATTAAAATACCAAGTGTTTTTTTAAATTCATACAGAGAGAATTTTAAAAATATACCTATTTTAGTTAGAGTAAAGGAATCATTTTAGTATCTAAGTTATACCAATCTTATATTTTGTTAAAGATTATAATGAACCCAACAAAGATTGATAACCTAGTGTCACCACTGATATATATATATATATATATATATATATATATATATACACACACACACAGACAGAGTCTGCCAGAATTATGTATAAACACTACAGAAAAGGAAAAACTTGACTTTCATAGTTTTATCAAATTGCGATAACTCTGTTTATTGTAGTACAATATTTTATCGACAGATGGTATTAACCTCATGGGTGTAGCATCAACAAGTGAAAATGTACATGTAACAATCCCATTGGAGACTTTGGCCAATGTTGCCTAAGCAGTAGTTTGCCATACTAATAAATGACTGGAAGCTAAAAGCCACCATTTTGAGCATCTCTTGTGATTATAGAATTCAAAGGTAACTTGTATTAGTCTTGTGATGTTCGAATGAATTTAGCATTACAATATCTATACAAGTTTTCCTTTCCTGAAGAGTGTATATATTTTGATGGCCTGTGTGTATATATATATATATATATATATATATATATAGAGAGAGAGAGAGAGAGAGAGAGAGAGAGAGAAAGAGAAAGAGAGGACATAAGAATCAACACTCCATTGTAACAGTCAGTTTCATATGTGAATGTGATTTTCAAACTTAGTTTAAATATTGTATTAAATTATGAAACTGACTATAAATGCTCTATGTATAGTAATAAATAAAATTAAATGTATACTTATCTATACTTTTAGTTTTATAATTAAAATAAAGGAGTCTTGATTGTAAAGTAAAGATGACTCAAGATAATTTCTGTGACACTCTAAGTAGAGATAAAATAAGTAAACATTTAATTTTATTTGTTACTATTAATGCTCTATCTCTTGATATTGAACTCAGTAATTACAAAGATAGCTTACCTTAAAAAAACATATGCCAGAAATACTCTGCTCACCTTTTTTTTTTCTTTTTTTTTCCAAAACATAATATTTGCATTGTATTTTTTTCATACTCAAGATTTTTCTATATATTTTGATTTTAGAAAAGGCCATCTGATAGTTCTTGGGCTCCAGGCAGATGGCACTGAATTGGCCATAAAAGTATACAAGAATGACGAGTGTCCTGTCAAATGTGGCATTCTGAATCAACTTGTTCAGCCTTTGAAATTGGACTACAACTTTTTGATTCAATACAGAGTGAGTTTGAACTTTACAACTCTTTCTTGCTTTCATTTCAGTCACTGCCATAGCTCTATGAATTATTGATTGACAATTCAATTGGATTTTATAAAATGAGTCAAGGGAGATAATTATAGAAATTCAATATGTCCCAAACTAAATTAGTAACATTTTGCCATAACCAAGCAATCCCTGAACATTCTCCTATCATGATGAATGGGTGTTCTCCAAAGGAGGCTCCTTGCCTTGAATGTCAGAACTCAAGCTCAGCCCAGACCTCAAGTGGAACTCATATATACAATCTATTACTAAAGATGCTGGTGTAGGGGATTTATAACTCTGAGTAAATAATTATAAAACTCCTTACATTTATGTATACAAAAATGTTTGTAAAAATGAGAAACAGCAAGACATGGAAACAACAAAACTAGTATTATTTATTATCTGTTTGTATTGTGGTGTTGGAGACATGATAGAAAGTAATACTGAATAAATTGTAAGTTTGGGGTCAAATTTAGATTAAATATGGATTGGAACCCAACAGAATGATAAGATAAAGAATAAGTAAAGTGTTTACAGTCTTTCTTGTAAATTTTTTTTATAGATGTTTGTAATGAGTGTCCAGATAATTTTGTTGGAAAATATAAGTGTCTGGAGTTTTCTTACTTCAAATTTTTGTTCAGTGCTAAGAAATACATATTACTATTATGGCCTGAAAAAAGAAACAAAGCCAATATTTTTATTGTCAGAACTGTCCATGTTGACTGCCTGTTTGTAGAGGAGAAAATGGGGTTGAATCCCATTGGTTTAGAAAGAGTAAATTAATAATAATTATAATTATTTTATTATAATTATTTTGGATGCTATAATTAATTTTTATTTATTTTTATGGACATGATACAGTGACAGTATAATTAATTTTATATTTATGTATTTCATTATGGACATGACACTGGAAAAATGATCCATTCATTGTACCATTCCAGAAACTAACTGATTCTGCCTATTATACGCTATCTTTTTACAAGAGCCAGATCAGACCAAAAATGGTGTATTGCTGCCATATTTGAAATGAAGTTATCCAGTTCTCATTTTCCTGTTTTGTTCAAAAGTGTCTACGTAGCCTTGTGGGTGATGAATTATTTCACACTTTACAACCCCTTTCCCATAGACAAAACATAGCAAGCCTCTTGCTACTCTATTGCTATTTCCATAGAATGTGTTTTGATGAGCTACATTCCTTGCTTTCACCAACCCTGACATTTACAGATGAAACTTGCTATGTCACATACACATGGATGAAGCATTTAAAATGTAATTGTTACTCAATAGACAAAAGTTATATTTGCTATATGTTTGGAATATTCTTATTCATTTCTCAGACATATCCATAATTCCACTAACATTATAATGATTATTGAGTGAGGTTTTTATACGGATGTAAGACAAGTAAGTGCAAATTATGAGGATATGTAGGATAGATAACTGTTGACCCTAGACTTGAACAGTTTAAGATCGTAGTGATCAAGGAGATTGTAGTGATCAGGAATATGTTCCATAAATCAGCTGTTCTGAGTGAAACTTCCTTCTTAAAGATAGTTTGTAAGCAATTTTTCTCTCCATAATCTATCTTACATATCTATAAGTCTACCATTTGTCCATACTTTGAATATTACTGCACATATGGTCCAGTGCTCCTGCTATATATCTAGAGATCCTTGATAAAGTATAAAGAATCAGCAATAATATTGGTTCTGATCTGGCATTTCAGCTTCAGTCATTTTCCCATTGCTGTAAAGTTGCCTCCCTGTTCCTTTTCTATGAATATTTTCATGGTAATTGTTCAGATGAGCTCTTTGCTATGGTACATAGACTTTATAAATTTAAGTACAGTAATAGACTGGTGACAAGATCTGATCAATTTGCAGTTGAGTTGAATTTTTTTTTTAGAAGGCGTTTCAGAGTCTGATCAGCTCTGAAGGGGTCGATTTGGTGAGGTCAGTATGATGTTTGAAAGACCCGAAACTGCCCAATGATCGTTGTCCATACCTGGCCAGTAGACATATGCTCTCATGAGGCTCTTCATTCTATTTATGCCCAGGTGACCAGCATGAAAATCTTTCAGTATTCTTTTTTGGAGTGTGCTAGGGATTATTACCCTTTCACTGTATATTAGCACATTATCACACAGAGAGAATGTCTCTTGAATTTTTTAGTCTTTACTAGCTAGCTTATCTTTTATTTCTATTATATATTTGTCCTTTTCTGCCTCTTTTTTGATGTCCTTAAGCGATACTGGTAATTCTCGAATTGCATTTGCCAAATTTTCTTCAACCTTGACCTCTGCTCTGAGGGATGCGATTACCGTATCCTCTAAAGGTTCTGTTGCTTTTGGAATGAGTCTTGATAGACCATCTGCATGACCAATTTTGTGGGTGGACAAATATTGTATTCTAAAATTATAATTTAACAAAATTGTTCCCCACCTAAGCAATCTATTTGCAGTGTATGTTGGCAGACCCTTCTTTGAACTGAATATCGTTACCAGAGGCTTGTGGTCTGTCTGTAGTGTAAAATACCATCCATGTATGTATCTATGGAATTTTGTTACAGCGAAGATAATTGCCAATGCCTCTTTTTCAATTTGTGAATAGTTTTGCTCAGCAGGTAGTAGCGATCTGCTTGCATGAGCGATCGGTCGAACTTTACCATCCTTCCACTTGTGCAATATGCACGCACATACGCCGTGTGTACTGGCATTGCTCGCCACGATGATATCTACCTTTGGATCAAAATGTACCAGAAATAAATCTGATGTCAATTTTTCTTTTATATCCTTAAATGCTTGCTCGCATTCTTTTGTCCATATCCAAGGTTTTTCTTTTTTTAGTAGATCGTTAAGGGGAGCTCATAGAATGTGGAGGTCTGGGATAAAATCCTGGTAATATGATACCAAGCCTAAAAAACTTTGTAGGGATTTAATATCCTTTGGCTCAGACATATCTTTTATTGCTGATGCTTGACTTTTATCTGGCTTTTTTCCTTCTTTATTCACTATATGTCCCAGATACTTGATCTCCTCCAGGAGAAAATCGCATTTGTTTTCTTTCACTCGAAATCCATAGCTTTTTATCCTTTCGAAAACTTTGTGTAAATGGTGTTTGTGTTCATCCACCGATTCACTTTTCACGAGTATATCGTCAAGATATGCTATCGTGTAGTCTAACCCGGATAACATAGTATCCATAATTTTTGGGAATATTGATGTGCTGTCTTCACCCCAAATGGTAAACGTTCATATCTGAACAAGCCTTTATGCGTGTTAATGCATAGCAACTTTGCACTTTCGTTATCCATGGGTACTTGCAAGTATGCCTCACTAAGATCTATTTTCGAAAAGATTTTTCCCCCATTTAACTTTGCGAACACTTCTTCGGGACTTGGTAGTGGATAGTGATACTCTTCTATTGCGTCGTTTAACTCGGTTGAAAAATCGGCGCAGATGCGAATTTCACCCGACTTCTTCTTCACGTAGACAGCCGGAGCTGCCCAGTCACTGTATTCCGTTTTCAAGATCACACCAATTCTTGTTAGTCTTTCGAGTTCTTGGTCAATTTTTTCTAATGCGGCAAAAGGGATGCTATGCTTTTTTTAAAAAATTGGTTGAATATTTTTCTTCAGCTGTATTTTTGCTGATGCTTCATGCAACGTCCAAGTCCTTCAGCGAAAACTTTGGGGAATGCTATTTTCAATTCGGTTTGTAAATTTTTTATATTGTCTTTGCTTTCACTAATGTTGTTACAAAAAGAACTAATGGGCACATCCCATAGATTGAACTTAGTGATTGTGTCAGTCCCAAACAGGTTGTTCGTGTTTTTCATTACAAAAATTTTCATTTTTATAGACTTGTTGTTGAAGGTTATATTCACCCATATTTCACCTTCAAATTTGATCTTTTTTCCAGTTACCATCCTGGCAATTTTGTTGGACTTTAGCAGAGTTGGCTTTCCTAGATTTTTCCATGTTTGTGTTAATAATCGAAATGTCAGATCCTGAATCTAGTTGCATTTTTACCTTCTTGTTGTACATTTTTACATGTAGGTATTTTCAAATATTCAGGTCTTGATCTTTGTCTGACTTAGTAACTTTTACTCGACTTTTGTTTAATTTTCTACACTTGGACATCTTATGTCCTACTTTCTTGCAATTTCTGCAAGTTTTATTTTTATATGAACAGTCATTGTACCAGTGCCACTGGCAGCATCCATAACATGCACTCGGAGGGAGTTTTTTTTTATTGTCTCTGTTCCTTCTTGTAGTAGGATACCACTTCCATTCAGGCGATGGAGAACTGAAACGAGTCTTCCTATTTACTTTCTTCACATTTGCGATAGCAGTTTTTTCTATTTTTTCTGAATCTTGCTTAATGCTTACGCATTGCTGACAGTACTCGGCTAGCTTTTGTAGTGTCATGTTTTGGTCATTTTCTAGCTTTCCTAAAATGCATCTTCGCATTTCGCTATCTTTTTTAGACACTAAGCCTAGCACGAATATTAGACACTTGAAATTGTCCGCCGATAATTCGGACAAGCGAAAATCGTCACATGTCTTATTTACGATTGACGTGAAAGTCGTGTAGTCTTCCTTCTCACTTTTTTGAATATTAAGGCATTTCCACCTTTTGTGAAATAATGATAATCTGGGGTTGAATAGCTCTTTTAGTAATTCAATTGCTTCATCGAATTTTAAATCTCTTGTCTTTTTGGGTAATATAAAATCCGTAAATTTGTTATGTTCTGCCGTTCCCAGTTTCCGTAGCACCAATCTTATCTTTTTCTCGTCTGTCCATGTTTGGCAATCGACTTCATAAAAGTCCTGATATCTATGATAATATCTTTCAAAAGTCTTTTCCTCTTCTGGGTTATAGGTAAAACTTTCGATCGTCAACCATATTGTGTCTTGAGAAAAAATACTTTCATCTGAGTCTTTCTGCTTGGACAGTATAGCTTTATGTATAA